AGTTTAACATATTATGTTCTTTAATAGGTGCATGTTCGTACTTGCACGGAGGAAGAATAATTGGCACGAGGTCAAGGACTACTATTTTCCCGTCCGGCCCGACCTATATTATCAGTCCTTAAGCACCTTTTCATTTTACCTCTCCACTACTTACATTTTCTTTCTTCGTTAAGCGGGTCTCCCATGGAATCCCATTTTCTTTTCCTGACCCTGTTCGCGTCATCACTTACGGCCCTCGTATGAGAATTTGTCTATGGCGTTTGTCAACCTCATGCATAACAATATTTGACTAACTCAATATAACCACTAATTCTTGCAGAATCTTTTGCACTAAGCTCATTACAATAGTTGGTGGCTTAGAAATGACCATTGTGCTGTTGATCGATTGCCTTTCATTCAATACTCGCAATTCTTCCTGAGAGCTTTATTTCCCCTTGGGAAAGCAGTAAGCAGAATAAAGAGATATCTTAATTTTTAATCTCAATTTAGCAAAGATCTAAAATTGTGGAGCATTTCCATCGTGCGCGTGTTCAGTTTTAGTGACTTGGTGGTAAGTTACTGCATGCGATTATTATAATACATCCATCTTTTTAGAGAAAGGTATTCTTTCCTCTTGTCACTTACTTCCGACAAAGAAAAATTCTGATTCGCCCTCTTTTCGCCAGGAAAGACAAAATCTAGAGGGAAGAACTGATCACAGATTTTCGTGCAAAATGCAATTGTAGGATGACAAAATTGAAAAAAAACAATGTTCTAGAGCGAAAATATTGTGTTCTTCGTAACTTCCATTGCAAAGTTAAAATGGGTCGGAAAGTGAAAAGTTTGCGTGTGAAAATCCAGTTTAGCTAAGTTACTTTGAGACGCTTTGAATAGGCACAAAAGACCCAAGCATCTTCCACCACTGATATCGGTCGGTTGGTTTTGTTACTGCTGTTTGAAAGGGTCATGAAAAGAAAAGAAAAGTCAAGAATTGTCCATATATGATGGGGTCTTGGCGTGGCCTAAAACATGTTCACTTCTCTGTCGAATTTACTTATGTTAATTCGAGTTGTATATTGGTTCAATCAACTAGTATATTGGTTATTTTCATTTTGAGACGCTCTGATTGAGCGCGAAGGATTTCGGAATCTTCCACAACTGATAACCAGTCTGTTGGTTTTGTTACTGCTGTTTGAAAGGGCAATATAAAAAGGCGAAAATTCACAGTTGTCCATAAGTGAAGGGAGTTTTGGCGCGTCTTCGATCACATACTCTTTCGTTTCGCATACAGTTACATCAATTTGAGTTGCATTTCAGATCGATCGAGAGAAACGTTGTCCCATCTGCCCTCAAATCTACGTAAACATTCGGTGGCCGGAAAATTCTTCAAAATGTGTCTTACATCAGGTCGCGCGTTCACATTCTTCGTTGAAGGAAACGCTTTACCAAAACCTTTCGATTGAAAACTAAACATGTGCATCGAAGTTCTTAACAAAAAAATTCAAATGCAAGTAATTACATTCAATTGATTAAGGTAAGTCTGGTAATATTTTGGGATGCCTTCGACCGACCTCCGTACGATTAATTTTCTTTGGAAATTTCTTTCAAGCAAGATGTTGGTCACAAATATCTAAAATGAGAATGAGTAAGGCCTTAAGCGTTGTTTCTTTCTTTTCAGTGTAGTAAATTTCCCTCCCCTACTGAATTCTTCCCGACTCTTTAATCCATCTTACAATGGAATGAGGACTGTTGTGCTTTCAAACATAATTTGAAGCTATGCATGTTTATTCATGAGAGTGCATGTCCACTGACACCCGTTGTTCTCCGTCAAAGATAAAATTTGTTTCTTCTGCACAAATTGCATATGAGCTGAATAAGGGCCCGAACGCACTACGCCAGTTTTGTTTATTGCAAAAATTATGCAGATATATTTGTCTTCAGTTTTGGTCTTTAAGAGCGCGCAGTTTTCTTTTTTTTCTACCAAACTTTTATCGAGCCGTACCAAGCATTTAAGTCGACTTCGTCCTACCTCGGAGCTGGTATATTTTTTTACATATGGAGGCGTTGATGTGAATGAAATTGTCGTGCGATCACTCAAGTAAATTAATTTGATGCCTTCAGGTAGACGAAGCCCGCAAAAATATCTAATTTTTCGCGGCGTTCGAGGTGCGATAAACATGCATTTTCCTGCAAACGGAACCTAGAGGATAATTTTCATTTCAACGTGATTGACACCATGTGGTTATTTTAAAAATATACGGGTGTTTTCAGGTGTGTACGCGATTGCCAAATTCAAAATTTGGTGGAAACAAAATTTGTCAAGATATTTTGCAGAACAGAACAATTTTTTTTCAACCTAGTGCACACGCTAACTAATTCAATACTAAAGCTGTTATAGTATAATCGGCGATTAGAATATTTCCTTTGAATAGAAAATATCTCTACAGTACCGGAAACGAGTTTTCCTGAGTAGACGACTGAAAACGTTATTCGACTAAAGGGGCAATGTTAGGATACACATTGCGTCAGGGTTCGCTAACTGGCCTTAAAGAAGTAATACTCATTTAGATTTGCCTTTGGGTTGGGAAAAACCAATGAAACAAGAAGGGTCGGAGCGTAATTCCTAGTGAATTTGTTGGATCGAGATTAATATGTTTGTGTTTGTTGTTTTAATAGATTTTAAGTACCCAGAGGATGACTCAGTTCTTTGAGCATCTTATCCCTTTTTGGTTGCTTCTGGCGTTATGCATAGGTGAGGATCAACGAGCAATATCATATAATATTAAAAAAAGGTATAGGTTAAATGAAGTTATATCCTGACTCGGCGAGAGAATATCAATTGATATCCTCTTGGACTCGACCACATCTCTTGAATGTACATTTACAAAACCCACTTCGGGCAAGGAGTAATATTTGGAATTGAACACTGTTAGGAAGATTTCAAATGTGCTTTTCCTCAGCAAAGTGTGAGCAAGAATGAAGAAAAAACAGGTAATTGAGTCGCAAGAGCCCGAAACTTCGTGCATGCATGCAAACACACGGTTGATTGTATGTTTTTTTGTTTGGTTTTTTTTACGTTGCAGTTTGGAGGAAATAACTACACGAAAACAAAGAGAAGCTGGAACTAAATAATAAGCATCCCAAAAAAAAAATACCAAAGCTCACATTATTTTAGATTTCAATACAGCTAACAAAAAAAACTTTCAAATTAGTGAGATATTTCAAAATTTGCCTTTAAATTTGGGTATCGAGAATTGCTTTTTCGCAGAATTTTGTCAATGTTTTGACATGCAATTACGAATTGTTTCGTATCCTGATTTTCGTAAATGATGTGGAACTCGGTAATTTGATTTGTGGAGATTTTAAGTAAAACAGAGGAAAGTCCGGACAGGGATAATGTTTCGTCATTTCGTTTTTTTGTGCGAAATGGATAGAAAGCAATGACTTCCCTTTTCGAAATAAGCAACACCTTGCAAGCAGCCATGAAATTTGTAAATTATTGTCTGCGTCCAATCTCAATCTTTAAAGTAGTAAAATAGTGTGGCGTTTTAACTTTCAGGCAATGTTAATACTAAGGCATTACAAAGAACGCCGGCAGAGGACTTGAACAACAGGGAAGATTTCAAAAAGCAACTTGAAGATTTAACGCAAGTTATAAAGAAACTTCAGGATGAGTTTGAAAATGACGGTGAGATAAGGACACCCTGAGCTGACTTATAATCTTTATTGGCTCACATCGAACTATTACATCAATAGATAGACTTCTTCGTTCATTGCAATCAACTTCTTTGTCGTACTTTGGGATGTTACACAACGCTACTCTTCCCGACTTCCGGAACCGAGTGGCGGTTCTTTCGAGGTGATTGTTGCGTGACGTGCTAAAGGACAACTGAGAAGGAGAAAACATTAATCGATGAGGCTTTGTCAAAAAAAGATCCTTTGCAAATCACATTGCCTTGTCTTTGTATAAACAACATGTGGTTATTAGTTTGAAATAGAAAGCAAAAATTTAAAGGTAAAAGACTACCTCACATCCATTGCGATAGCACGCACAAAAAATACCGCGCAGCAGAATCATGCTACCATGTTTAAAGGTCAGTAAGGAACACATAAACAGCTAAACAACAACAACAACAACAACCACAACAAAGAATGAAATAAAAAACAGGGATGCTGAAATTGATTCTGAGGTTTCTGGCACAAATGGAAGAGTAAGAATATTTGCATGATCCGTGAAAAATATAAAGTTACATGGCCACCAACATCAATCAATACTTATCTCTTTCTTGGTTTCTTTTTTAAGGTAACCACAGAAAAAGAAACATTTTGAATTTGCGTGACTCTGAAGAAGGAGAAAAGAAAGGAGGGAAGGAAAAAAATTCATCGAGAAATAACATGGTGAGTGCCAACTTTGTGGCATAGAAGTTGAATTACTGGGTAATTCAGTTCTGTAGTTCAATTTCTTGTAGTGTCGAGAATAATGTATTTAGTTCAGAAAACGAGCATTGTTTCCAAGAAACACCATCTTTCACCTCCTAAAAATGCGTCTTTTTTTTAAATTTATATGAGCTAACGTTGTTAATGTGACGGTAGGTGTCCTGGTCTTTCCTGAATTATGTCTAAAATACCAGTCAGTCGGCTAAAAAACCAATGCTTTAACTTACTTTTGCTGAATCTGGATTCTGTGAGTTAAATTGCCTGTTCATTTTCATGTGCATCCACTGAAATTGAGATCAAGCAGGCAAACAGCGATTGCCTGCAATGGATCATTACTTCAAATCAGTACATCAAAGTAAGGATTTCATTAATCCTTTGCTCTTGACACTATAGTCCTTATCATTCCTTTTCGAACTTCAATGGTTCCCGGTAACCACTTCGATCTTCCTTAAGGAAACTGCTTTATTTAACCAAACGTGGTTTGGTAATCCATTCGCATCCGAAAAGTGTTCCTTGATCTTTTGATTAAAATAATATTTGAGACACATTTTCAATGTGTGCTATACTTCTCCTTCCAGTTCAAAGGAACAGCTCTTGGGGAAAAATTGTTGGAGGCCGGAGTCAATTTACTGACAAAGGAGTTAAACAGTAGAGTAAAGACCAAAGAACAGGAAAAAAAATCAGACTCTGGGTCCAAGGTGCTTATAACATTTGAATCAAACAAAATTATTTACACTCTATTAGTAACGTTGTTGTGATGTATTTTAGGTATTTCAATTTGAGTGTGTATTGGTGTCAGTGTATGGATTGTCTCTTTCAGTCGAGAATAAAAAAATTTAACCATTCTATCATCGAGTGCAGCTCCTGAC